TCTGAGGCAAGAGTGTTGCACCCAAATGTGGGGAAAGGGCTGACATGCTGGCAGCTCCTTGCCCTGCAAAATCAGCAGAGGTGGAAAAGTCTCCATGTGCACATTTGCAGATGAGAGGAGGTGATCATGTGGAAGTTCTACCTCACATCAGCTGAGATACTGGCAATTTAGATCAGATTTAGAAACTGGGGGAAAGAGCCACCTTTGCTGTAACAAAGATGCAGCTTTTTACAGTTTAATTATTTACAGTCATACATTTCTGTCTTATATCTCCTTGACATGAGGCTCAAATAAATAATTCTGGGTGCATGTTTGCCTGTGCAGCTGCAGACATTCTGCAAACTTCCTTAGCCCCCTTTCTGGTGTAAATTCTGAGCCTGACTAAGGTGTGCCTGCCTCTGAGAAGGCACAACTGAAATACTTTGATTTCTGGTCATAACCTTGAAGTTTTTACCAAGAATCTCCCTGTTCTCTTTGTGAATGTTCAAACTTCTGTACATGAGAGGGCAGGGGACACAAAACTTCCACAACCCCCAGTGATAAACTCCTGGAATTTTTCTCAGCCAATGTAACACTTCCCACTGGGAGGTACTCTGTACAGGGCAGTAAATGGCATTGCAAAATCCCAAATATCCTGGTCACTGCCTTTCTGACCTGCCTGGTGTTGTCTGGGTCTGGAAGCCTTTGTTTGAATGTGATTTTCAGACCCCAGACAACTTGTGGGCAGAGACAGGACTGGGAGTAATGGGGACATTTTTGTTCTGCTCAGGGTTATGTGTTACTTTTTTATTAAATGTGGTGGACCTTTCTGGACCTCCATGAGAGTTGGGGTCCTTTCTGTGTGCCCTTTTCTGAGTGTCTCACTGGGGGCAGGAGAGATCTCACTGAAAAGAAGGTAATAAAATCCCAGGATGGAATCCTCTGGGGAGAAGATGGGAGAACATGAAGAACCTCCTTCCCACCCCGATGAGCTCTTGCATCAGCTTTGTATCCAGCCCTCCTGCCGCAGGACACCGCCCGTGCTTCCTTTTCCTCAGCTCCAAAACTCTGGGGAGGTGTTTCCCGGCTTTTGTTGGGACAGCGCCCCTAACCCGAAGGGCGGAGAGACCTGTGGCAGAGTGGGAAAGGCTGGAGGGGATCAGGGACAGGGATGTGCAGCTCCTCCAGGATGCCAGGACACGAGGCACTGCCGCCATCTAGTGACTTGGGATTCGCCGGCTGGTCCACGGCGCTCCTGGGGATGCTCTGCCGGGAAATGGGCCGGGGACCCCCACCCAACGTGCCTCTTGTGCCTGAGACATGTAGAGGGGCACGCTTTGCTGGAGAGGATGGAAAAGCTGCTCAGCAAACACGAAGTTGAGAGTATTGCTGTGCTTGTCTTTGAGTGCTGCAACACTCGGGGCTGACAAATGCTATTTTAGGGGGATTGGTACAGGAAAAAATTGAATTTTTGCTGTTATACATCTCTCTGCTTCCTCAGTCATCATGCTTTGGGATGCCTTTGGAAGGTGGAGAGGTTGAGGAAATCCACCTGGAGGGATGAAAAATGATGCATTCCAAAAAAAAAAAAAAAAAAAAAAAGAGGGAGGAAAAAAAAGGGAAAGTCTGAGAGCAGCTTGATCTGGGGCTTGCAAATACAGGTGATTCTTGACATAGGAGTCCAGAGACCACGAACTGCTCAGGAATGGGCAAGGTCCAAACTAGAATTGCAAATCCCAGCAGAAATATGGAGGCAGTGAGTAAGGCCAGGTTAATTAAAGGCTATTACATTTTCTAGCTCTTCATCTGTTGCTGCAGTGGATGAGTCCTGACAGGCAGCATGGGCACACTCCTCCCCTCCTTTTCTTAAAAATTCAAAATAATATTAAAGAATCATAGAATGAATCATGGAATCATGATGGTTTGGGTTGGAAGAGACTTTAAAGATCATCTGGTTCCAACTCCCCTGCCATGGGCAGGGACACCTTTCACTAGACCAGGTTGCTCAGAGCTCCACCCAAAATGAAATGCCACTCTAAACTTGAGTTCATGGAAATTGCAGGGCTGAGCATGGAAAAACCTCTCCAAGTAAATGGCAGTGTCATCCTGGTTTGTGTCCCAGGCTGTGCTCACCTGTGACTGCCACATCAGCAGTCCCTGCACCCCAGCAGTAACCACTGACCTTGTTAATGAGGGTTATCACTGCTGATAGACCCAGGGCATGGACAGACCTGTGGCAACAGCCTCTTTGCAGATGCAGAGCAGCAGGTATCCTGCTGTAATCAATTTTTTATTTTTGCAGGGCTCCTGCATCCCAGAGGGATGTAATGCTGAAGGAATCATCAATCTCATTGTAAGCTCTTCACTTGGAAAAAAAAATTGCATGCATTAATGAAGTCATTTCACACAGCTAAAACACACATTGAAAGAATTAGACACATGGCAAGTGAATGCCCAGAGACACAAGGTCCCATGCTGGTGGGAAAAGGTGAGGTCTCATTGAAGTGTGCTGGGTGACTCTTGCAAAGATGTACACTGGTGAAATTAAATACTTGCATTGGTAATAAAAACTATCAGTTTGTGCAGTTCTTCCTATGGATTTGATCCTGTCCTTGTTCTAGCCTGAATCTGAGCTGAGCTTAAAGTGTGCTCTGCCTCTGCATGGGCAAGGAAGGAAAATCCTGACTTCACCTTGGCACACCATCATGGAAAAGGGGAGAGGTTAGAACAGAGGAGGAAAATCACATATCCTGCAGCTTTTGCTCTTTCCTTTATTTCTAACATTTCAGATGTTTTGTCCAGAGATACTACTTGCAGTTTTTTGTGGCAGCTAGCACTGGAGCATGTTGAGGAGCTGAGACTGTTTTGGAGATATCAGCCACTTCCCCAGCATCTAAGTAAAGCATCACTAGGAGCTTCCAGTGACTCCAGGGATGGTGATAGGGAGGTTTCACCATCAATTTAAGCCTGACCAATCCCTGAAGAACAAGGTCCAGCCTTGCTGTTTTATCCAGAACCTTCTGAAAACACCTGGACCCACATCTGGAATGGGGACAGACCTCCATTACAGGGTGAGCACCCCACTGTATGCCATTGTGCCAAGAGTATCTGGTGACTACAGGTACAGGGAGAACTATGGGGCCACAGCAGGTTTGGGTGGCTCAGGCTTCATCTTTGCAATGTCATGAGGAATATTGAGCACAGAGATGGTGGGGAGATGCAGGCTGGCTGGCAATATAATTTATACAGTTATAGATAAATAGCTCCCTTCCTAGCTGATTTCCTAGAGGTGTGCTCTCTCTGCCCCACTGTTTGAGCTCAGATATATTATTAAAACACTTCTGTTTGCTTCCTGCTCTGCCCTGTTCAACCTTCAGCAACACCACCAAAAGCAGCTCTGTCCAGAGCCTGAAATTTACCTATTGCCTCTATCTAAAGAGCCTGCAGAAAGAGTCTTTTGGGATGTTGAGTGTAGAAAAGTCATTTTCCACACCACTGTCCAGGGCAATGACTGGACCACCCTCCACCAGATATTTTTCTCATTGCTCCAGTAACAACCATAAGAATAAGGAGAGAGAGGCAATGTATTTGGGGCAGACTCCAGTGCTTTGGCAGGTGGTATGTCCTTTGCTGCAGATGGGGCTTCCGTGGCTCATAGCAGGCTGTTATCAGCCATCCTTTGTACCTCAGCTCCTGCCTGCCTGGGCTGAAGTCCTTTTGCTTTCTCCAGCACTGAGCTGTGTCCTGGGTTTGTGCAGCCACTGGTCCTGTGCTGACCTTTCCCTTCAAAAAATGCTAATTGTATTAAAATAAAAAAAGCAGCAAAAGGATGCACAACCCTTCCCTGCAAAGAACTGGATTTTTTTTCACAACGCCTCCCATGTCTCCTCTCTCCCCTGTGCCTCAGTTTCCCCGTTGATGTGACAGGGCTGTTGGGAGGCTGAGCAGAGCTGAGTTCCAGACTGATTGTGCTTCTGGGGTTTCCTGACTCAAACCCTTCTTTAGGCAGTTTCAATCTCAAATTTAAGTCCAAACTCATGGTTTAATCAGGTGTCTCCATGTTTCCCCACTCGAAGTCGGAATATCTCCCGGGTTACACAAGAGACCACAAGGTCTCCATGCCCTGTGCCTGATCACTCTCAGGTTAAAAGCTGGCTCCTAATATTTAACCAGATTTCCCCCTCGCTGCAGCTCGCACCTGCTGCCCCTTGTCCCGGCTCCTGGCACCGGCAGAAGCAGCCGAGCTCCGTCTCTCCCGCGTATTCCCATTCCAGGCTTGCTGCCGGCCGTCTCTGCCGTGGCACCGGGAACACCGGCGGCTGGCACTGGGGACAATTTTCCGTGAGCACCGGGGCAAAGGGTGGCCGGGCTGGAAGCGGTGGCCGCAGCTTCTTTGGGCAGTTCCTGCCGTGCTGAGCCGCGCTGAGGGGGCAGCGCTGCCCCGGGGCCTGAGGGAGGCACAGCCGAGGGGGGCACAGGGGCAGGGGGAGACCGGGCCGGTCCCAGCAGCGCCGGCGGGATTTGCGCCGGTCCGGAGGATTTAGCTCAGCCCTTCCTACACTGCGTCAAATCCTGCCCTTAGTTTAACCCCTTTGAACAAAACCAGCCTGCTCTGAAAACGTAGTGATTTCTTTTTTAATTTAAAGCTCCAGCTTTTGCAAACAGCCCACCAAAGGTTCATGACGTGCTTCTGCAGCGACTTGTGCGCCGTCAGGGCTTTTCCTCAGGCGGGAAGTGTCTCCCCGGGCAGGGTAGAGGGAAAGCCGGACAAGGAGGCTCCAAAGGAGGCTCCAACCTTGGCACAAATCCCAGGCAGCCTTTCCACCTCCTGCAAAATGCCGAGTGCCCTGCACTGACCCTGGCTGCTCCAGCTCCCTGTGGGAGGAGGTGGTTTGTCCCCTCGCGAGTTCTCTCTGCCCACAGAGGAGGTTTTGGAGGGAGTTGTTTTGGGGTGAGGGCCTGTTCCTGGTGTGGGGGTGCTTTGTGTTGCTGGCAGTGATTGCGGTGCCTCCTCAGCAGCCATGGAGTACATCAGCACACGGGGAGGCACGGGGGCCGTGGACTTCGAGGGAGCCCTTTTCTCTGGCTATGCCCCCGATGGGGGCCTCTTCATGCCCCAGTGCATCCCCTCGCTGGACAGGGACACCCTGCGAAGGTGGAGTAGCCTGTCCTACCCTGAGCTGGTGAAGGAGCTGTGCTCCCTCTTCATCCCAGCCGAGCTGGTCCCACGGAACGTGCTCAATGGTGAGCTGAGTGGGGAGCTGCTCGTGGGGATGTGGACAAGGGTTTGGGGGGTCTGGATGCTTCTGCCTGCCTTTCTCCAACCTCTTCACAGCCCCCAAGAGAAGGAGCCTGCTGCACATTCCCTGCTCCTTTCTGTAGCCTGCTCTCCTCTGTCACCTTTCTGGCACTAATGGAAAAGGTGTCCCCTGTTTAAAAATAAGGGTTCTGGTGACAGCAACAAGCTGATGTTGTGGCCCTGCTCACTGCTGGCACTCCCTCCAGGGCTTTCTTCTGCTTCACACTTGCCTTGATGTGTGTTTTTAAATGTTTTTAACACTTATGAGCTATCTTTTCCACCAGAGGGCAGCTGCAACCTCTGTCTCAACAGCACGTTGGTATAAAACTCAGGTTTCCTGTATTTTATGTATTAATGTAGTTTTCTGATTGTGTGGCATGTCCCCTGGGATTACTTAGCTCAGAGTTATCCAACATCATGAAGCTGGGCTGGTTCATTCCTAATAACCATAAATCACTTTTGGGGTACCTGTCACTGCACAGAGCTTTGGTTGTGCAGGAGGGTACCCAGGAGCACAAAGAGCACAGATGCAGGAAGCCATGGGTCAGAAAAACACTCCTTTCATTTAACAGGCCATTTATCCATTTTCCCTCTAGAGCTGATCGACAGGGCCTTCAGCAGATTCAGACACAAGAATGTTGTGCATCTGTCCAGGCTGAAAGATGGGCTGAACATTTTGGAGCTCTGGCATGGTGTTACATATGCATTTAAGGACCTGTCCTTGTCCTGCACAGGGCAGTTTTTACAGTATTTCTTGGAGAAAAAGCAGAAGCATGTCAATATTCTGGTGGGTGAGTATGACTCCTTGGAGGTAAGGTTCTTGGGCAGGCCTTTACCTTGAGAGCCACCATCCTACAGCCCTCCCCAAAGATGCCCCGGGATGGTATTGCCTGATAATCTCCAGGCAATGCCAGAGTGGCTGCTCTGGCCAAAAACATCTCATAGAGCATCTCTGCATCTTTTTCTTAAAGTGCAGTGGTGCAGGTTTGATTGACACAGCAATTTTTTGCTTTTCTTTCTGCTTCCTCACCTTGAAACAGGGACTTCAGGGGACACGGGGAGCTCGGCCATCGAGAGCGTGAGAGGGCAGAAGAACGTGGACATCTTTGTTCTGCTGCCCAAGGGGCTCTGCACCCAGATACAGGAGCTTCAGATGACCACTGTCATTGAAGACAACGTCCACGTCTTTGCTGGTTGGCACTGCTGCTTGAACTGTCCACTTTATGGCCCTGCTGTGTCAAAACCTTGACCCTAAAAGTCTGAGGGGGCTGCTCAGTGGGGTTTGCAACTTTAGCAGCTGCAGCCAGCTGGGTCATTGCTATCACCATGCCCAGACACCTGGCTAACAGGAGACAACATCCCCAGTTTGACAGCCAAGCAGTTTAAGGCTTCTTTTTCTCCTGGCTGTAGATCAGAGCTGCCTCCATGCAGGTGGTTGGTGTTTGGTTGAACTAAATTCAGCACCATTTTTTGTCACTAAAAGGATTTGGAACCACCCTTTCCCTCTGTCCTCTTGCCTTCATGGGTGAGCCACCTCCTACCACCATGCCGTCTCCGTGGGTTGGCATCAGCACTGGGTGCTTGAGCTGCTTGAGTTCCCATGGAGTCCTCTGCTCAATCTGGTCTCACCTTGGCATCTCACAAGGGGATGCAGCATTTGCCTTCCTGGCAGGTTTATATTTTGTAGAAGCAGGAGCCCAGAGTGCTGTGTCTTCAAAAACCACCTGACATCCAGAGGGTGCCACTCAGGCCCTGGTTCACACAGCCCCCAGGGCAGATGGGCAACTCCTGGCCACAGCAAACCCCAGGGCTTGAGACCAGCCCTATTTCTGAGCAGAAGCACCTCACGCCTGATGCACTGCTGCTGGCAGATCTAATCTTTCCTTTCTCCTTTTGACAGCTCATGGGAACAGCGATGAAATTGATGAGCCGATTAAGGAACTGTTTGCTGATGTCAATTTTGCTGGAAAATACAACCTGATGAGCTTGAATTCTGTCAATTGGTCCAGGATTATGGTGCAGATTGCCCACTACTTCTATGCTTACTTTCAGTGTGCCCCATCCCTGGATACCACCCAGCTGCCAATGGTGGAAATTGTTGTGCCCACGGGAGGAGGAGGAAATATCACGGGTAAAGGGAAAAAGAGATGGGTTAGATAAGAGAGAGAGAATGCTCTGATCTATGGACCAAAAGCACTTTGCAGATACTGGGTATTGCTATTTATTAAAACACCCACTCTCTGGTGGGATTTCTTCAGAACCACTTATATTTTATTACTCATGTATGGTTATTACTCAATTTAAGTGTCACTGATGATTTGCAAGGTGCAGAAAAACCCAAACCACTCTTTGATGATGACTGTAACTATCTTGAGGATGGGCACATTAGAAGAGGACAGAATGCGTTTGATGCAGAAAAGAGGGAAAATGCTGTGGCTCTGATTTCTTAAGTGAGACATTAACAGAGGTGTGGAGTCCTGCCTGGTCCTCTCTGGTTTGCATGGTAATGCATGGTCAGGACAACCACTCTTAATTGCATAATCTGGCCTTCTAAATGAGAGTCCTTGATTGCCTCAGTCCCAAAATAGGTGTAGAACTGTCTTATGAAAGCAATAAAGGATTTTATATATTCACTGCTCTTCCAGGCTGCCATCAGAGAGGCAAAAGCCCAAAATCTTCATCTCTCCTGCTTGCCTGTCAGCTGCCTGAACTCTCTGCCCCCTGCCTGTCCACCAGCAAAAGTGAAGATGAGCAAGGGTCTGTGTTCAATGGCAGGTGGAGCATTGCATCCCTGGGTTTTATAATCTGTGCTCTACCAAGCCACTGAAGTCAGATATCTCAGAGTCCACTAGGGAATATAATTTCTGCCTGCTTCTGAACTAGATGCTCAATCAATTTGTATGATGACTTCTTTGCTAATCTCCTTCAAATGTTTCTTCATCGAGCACTCGTGCATTTTTTTCACTTTTTTTCCCCTAGCTGGCTGTATTGCCCAGAAAATGGGTCTCCCAATTCAACTTGTTACTGTGGTGAACAGCAATGACATCATTCATAGGACTGTTCAACATGGAGATTTCTCACTGGCAGAGAGCGTGAAGGCTACGTTGGCATCAGCCATGGATATCCAGGTATGTAGTGAACTGGCCAAAATGCAAAAATAGAAAATATTGCTGGGCTGGTTTTTAATCTTGTACTCTGTTCTGCCTGTAAAATTCTGCCACTCGATGATGCATTAGGAGGTGTGACTCCTATTGACCATTTATGCTACAGACTGCTGAGTTGAGATAGATCAAACTCCTTCTCCCTCACTTTTCAGGGTCTGACTTTCTGATCTTTGTTGTTGAGTTCTGGGTTTCTGGGGATTGTTCTGTGCAAGCTTAGCAAGACAGGGACATTTCCACAACATGAGACAGCTAGAGAACTAAAAATGGCATCATGTCTCGAGGGTTTTGTTGATGCTTCTGAAAGGCTCCACAAAGAGCAAGAGGAGAGACTAGGAAGGAGGTGGAGAAGTCCAGAAGAAATGCCTTGTTCATGGCTGCCTGCAGCTTGCTCAGAGCAAAACAAGTCCCAGCAGGCAGGGAGAGGTCTCAGAAAGAAAAGTCATGGAGGTACAGAAACCAAACACTTGGAAGCACATACCTCCCCTTTCATTCCCACCCTGGGATCCCCAGGGATTGGATCTGCTTCCAAACAAGTGATCAAAGTGGGAAACCCTTGGTGTTGCATCTCTGTGGCCTTAAGCTACCTGGATTTTCCAAAAGCTGTTCAAACACACTGGGAGGACCTGGGAGTCTGGAGGGATTGCCATGCTTTGCAGTCACTAAGTCCTTATGCTCCTTTCACCAGACTGTGCTTGGCTTTCCTCCTGAGCCAGGAACTTGTGGGGCTCCTCAGAGCTCCAGGGATAACTGAGCTCCTCTTCAGCCCATCTCCCTTCAGTAGCACTGGTCAGCAAGTGCCACACTTTGGGATCTTGGGGGTAGTCAGGTGATGAGATTTCCTGAGATTCCAGGGGAGCTAGATGAGTGAATCCCTCTGCACATTCCTCTCCATGGCTGCATGGGATGTCACTGTTCACTCACATCTGAAACATCCATGCAAATATTTCTGTAGCTAAAGAGAACATTTGTTCTGGAGGGGAATTCAGGAGGTCTCTGGTTGGGACTTGTTTAAAGCAGATTCAGCCTTGAGGTCAAGTGGGATTGCTCAGGGCTTTGTCCATTTGGGTGTAGGAAACCTTCGAAGATGGAGAGTGCACAGCCTCTTTAGGTTGCTGCTTCTGCAGACTAAGATAAGGCAGAGAAAACTTTCCTGTTAGATGCTGCCTGAAGAGTTGAAGGTGAAGCAGAAAGTCTGGTGTGGATGAGCCTTGCAAGGAGCAATCCCAGGACAATCCCAGCAGATGCTGTGTCTTTGCAGCCAAGCAGGGGCTTTTCTCTGTCCCTGAGGTCAGGAAGAGCCACAGAGCTCATATCCACACTGCAAAACGTTGTCCCCAGCATGAGCTGGCTTCCAAACTGGGCCCCGACATTCTCCTGGAGAGCTCTGGTGGTGTGGGACACAAGCCAAACACATTCTCCTGGAGAGCTCTGGTGGTGTGGGACACAAGCAAAACACATTCTCCTGGAGAGCTCTGGTGGTGTGGGACACAAGCAAAACACATTCTCCTGGAGAGCTCTGGTGGCTGGTACTTGCACCAGTGCCCTGGCCCAGTTCAACTTACTGGTGTCACCATAGTGTTCTGTAATGGAAACTGTAAGGCTGGTGGGAATGGAGGATGAAGGGGAAATGTGGGAAGGATGTGGGAACAGCAGAAAGAAGGACAGGAGAAAGGGTGTCAGGAGCACAGTATTGGAGGCACATCCAGGAGCAGGTCATGGAAGTCCAGGCACACTGACCAGGACAGCCTAAAACAGGGGACAGCCTAGAGCAGAGGGCAGGCTACACCCAGACTGGACTGAAGATTAGAGGCTGAAGGCTCTGGGAGATGATGGTGGGAAGATGAAGAACAGAACTGAGCCCATAAGACACCCAGATAAGGACACAAAAGGCTGAGTAAGTCCTGATGACTTGACAAGGTAGGACACGATGGAGTGACAAAAGGTCACAGGCGCTGTCAGCTGCTAAAAGTTATGAAGAGTTTATCCAAACTTCAGCCCAGGATGTGAGATGAGGACTCTGTAAATTGGTGCCCTTGTCCTGTCTGTCCCTACAAGGTATCTCAGCCAAACCACCTGGATGAATATTTCTTGGTGCTTGTAAATGTGCAGGAATGAGGCAGGGCAGAGAAATTGGTTTGGGACCCTCCTGTATGGTCTTGCACAGAGTTCTGCTGCAGTGTTGCAATGCTGATTGCTCCACAGCCATATGGGTCAGTCAGGCCCTATATGTGCCCTGTGAATTCAGGGAGATTATCAGCCAGCCCTGCAGCGAGCTGGGTGTCTCATTAAGTCACGCAGGAGCTGACTCACAGCAGCATCTGCAACACTGAGTAAACAGCTGGATATGTCTGGTTCTCCAGTACACAGTGTGTTATTAGCCTGGGCTCCTCACAGTGATGGTACAGATGTGGTCAAGCTGTTGATTCATCAGCCATCCCTTCATTTTCTGTTTTAATCTGATGGTCACTGACAGACTGCTCTGACAGGTCAGAGGTTCAAAAGACATTGTGTTCCCAAAGACTTGTCCTGAGATGTAAAAAAGCCCACCCTGACTTCCAACAAGAAAAACACAGTGGTAGGACCTCAGCCCTAATGAGACATCAGAGAATCCACAAGGATGCTCCCCCCGTTTGAATTTCCTCACCTCTTGCCTTGTTATCCCAGGAGCCTTACAATGTGGAGAGGATCCTCTGGCTGCTCTCGGGCTCTGATAGCCACCTGATAAAAACTCTGATGGAGCAATTCAACATCTCAAAAAGGCTGAAGCTGCCAGAGGATTTGCACAGAAAGGTCAGTTCCTCACCCATACAACTGTGTGTGTGTCTGTAAGATTATTGCCAGGTATTTTCAATTCATTTTCAGAATTAAAAATATCATAATGGAGAGTATGCAACCAAAAATTTAAGCGTGACTCCAGAGCAGTTTGATATCAATGTGTGGGCATGGAGATACTAAAAACCCCTTTATATTTTTTTTTTTTTAAGAATGCTCTCTCTTCTTCACAAAAGTAAGTTAAAAATTACCTGCAGTTATTTAGGTAGCATATGAAATTGGCCTATCCTTGGCCATGCACTGAGGCATTGTACAGTGGATGCTGGCACAAATCAGGTGTTTGGGAGTGGGTCTGCTGAGTTTGGTGCAATTCAGCCTTGCTGTTACAGCAAAGGGGAGCACAAACACAAAGCAGAGAGAGATACAAGAGAAAACCAAAGATTTGAGTTGTGAGAGGGACAGGTACAAAATCCTGCCTTTTCCTGTCCAATTTTTGATGTGTTCTCCTTCACAGAGCAGCCTTTGCCCAGTGTCCACTCCTGCTTGTGCTGCAGAAAGATAAATATAAAACAATTTTATTATTAAAAGCAAAAAGAACTGTTACACTGAGGTGGATTTTACAAGTCCTCAGAAACCCCCCCAGAGCATGGAAATAGCAGTGCAGAGGTGAGGAGCTGAGCCCTGGCTCCTGCTCACCCACACTCACAGCACCTGTGGACAGAAACCCCTTGCCCACACTCCATCCCTGTGGTTTATTCCAGCAGTGCCTCATGCCCAGGCTGCAGCAGCAGCAGCCCCTTTTCCTTCAGTCTCTGGGGGAACCCATCCTCCAGCCTCTCTATTTCCACCTGATTTAAAGCCAGCTGGGGGGGTGGTGCCCTGTGTGATCCTCCCTGTTTCTCCACAGCTCTCTGAGACCCTGGGATCGTGCTCAGCCTCTGACCAGGACATTGTGGGAGCCATGCGGCGCTGCTGGGAGGAGAACCAGTACCTGCTGTGCCCCCACTCTGCTGTGGCTGCTCACTACCACTACTCACAGCCACCCAGGTAGGGACAGCCATGGTCAGGAGCATTAGGGACTGGACCATCATTATCCCCTTGCTCCTGCAGCATCTCCAGCCCAGCTCACTTACACCATAAGTTTTCTTTGCTTGTCTTTACTTTCCAGCATCCCCCGGTGCTGCTTGGCTCCAGCCTCTGCAGCCAAATTTCAGGATGCCCTTCTCCGAGCTGGCCTGGCTCCCCAGATCCCCCCTGAAATCTCTGCCCTGACAGCAATGGAGACCAGGTCCACTGCCCTGGAGCGGGGACAGGACTGGGCACAGGTGCTCCGGGGCCGGATTGAAGCTGTGGCACAGCAGTGGGAGGCACAGGCGGGTCACTCTGCACCCCAGGGCAGGTAGTCACACAGATGTGACCACTGGACACAGCTGGACAATGTCCCAGGGCTCATTCTCCACTCCCAGAAAAGCCCTGTCTTATGCTGGGAGTCTCCATGCAATGATGTATTAGCAAGAATTCACTTCCCTGTGTAATTGGACAATTTCATAACATTTTCAGTAAAGAGCACTGCAACTGTATCCCTTTTTCCTAATAAATCAGAAAAACTGAATTAAACTCTGAGTAAACCTGGCTGTTCCATCATTACTGGCTGTTCCAGAAAGCTGTCATAGCACTACCCACAGCTGCCTGCTTCTTGAGCATTATCCAGTGATTCTGGCTCTGTGCTGGGATGTTCAGCCCAGCAATCCCAATAGCACCCAAGATGCTCAATAGGAAACACATACAAGAGTGGGGTGGATCCACTTTACCCATCCCTGTAGTTTAAGCAGTGCCAGGATTGTTCCCAGGCATTGAAACTTGCTGTGTGATCGTGTTAAATAGCAGATGTTTTCCCTGGACAAGTTTCTCTTAAAGAGCTATTTTCCAGTGCTGTATCTCACAGCTTTTGGTCCTAGTCCTGCTTCAGACTCTTCCCAGGCAACTTCCACTGTAACAAGTAGGAAATGGGAAATTCCCTTTATCTTCTGCCTGAAACTTCAGGTCTTTCAATACCACATTCTCATCATATACATATAAATACATAAATACCTTGTGTGGGAGCTGCCTCCACAAGTCATGCATCTGGCAAGAATCTCTTGTGCCTAAAAAAGGGGGAAGAAAAATAGGAATAATTATACCAGGGGGAAAAATCCCCCTTTGCCATCAAAAAAAAAATTCCCCCTTTGACATCAAAGGAAGTCCTGTAATGGGAGGATTAATTTGAAGGTTTAGTGGCATTTAACAGGGTAAAAGTAAATTCTGTGAAGTGATTCAGCTTGGGATGTTGCAGAATGTGCGGGAAGAGTGGGAAGCTTGGCCTGGGCTGCAAGCTGCCTTGCTGGCACCCAGGCAGCCTTTTCCTTGGCTCCCTCTGGCACAGCTGGCTCTGTGCCACCTCCTTCCATCCCACCGAAACCCTGCAGGAGAGGAGGGACCTGTGCCTCCTCCAGGGTGGGGGCTGAGGCTGCCCCATCCTAATTAACGGGATGAGGGAAACAGCTTAGCTGAGAATGATGTAAAAACCACAGCACTTGGATGTTTTTGATGCTAGCAGCTCTACTTGCAGGGATTGAGCAGCTGGGAGGTGGGGTCCAGGAGTGATGTTTCGTGAGGCCATCATTCACCCTCTTCTTTAAGAGCCAAACCAGTAAAATACCTCTTCTTTAAGCAGTATCTTCATCCTTACAAATAACCCTTCCCCAAAGCATGGCTTTTCACTGGGGGTGGTCAGGACATCTCTGGGGGTGGCAATAAGAAACTTCCTGATCCTTTTTGACCCCCATGATCAGTTTCCCCTTTCATTGATGCAGATGTTATGCTTATTAGACCCCACTGCCCTTAACAGCTGCCTCCCCAAATCTTGTGGTTCTCAGCCAGGCCCAGTTGCAATTTAGCCCTTAATCATATCTCAAGACACCCTGCAAGAGGGGAAAGGCCCGAAATTGCACCCAGTTCTGCAATTGGTTGCAAACCTGGCTGGCAAGACCCCAATCCCTCACTGGGGAGCACTGTGAAGGATGGAGTGAGTGGGGCTGGACTTGCAGCCTGCCAAAATCCTGGTGTGTTTTGCAAGCAGAAAGCGTGACAAATGCATTCCATGCTCCCATCCCAGTGCCCTCAAGCAGTAGGATGAGTAAAGGGTCCAGCCTCATTGCAGGGTAAGAAGGAGTTTAATTCTAAACCATCCCTGAGGATACCCTTATGGGGTGAGGATGCTACATCTCCCCCAGCCCAAATCAGACCTTTTTTTAGGGCAGGACACTATGAAACCTTCTCTGAGATCTCTGGAGCAGAAGAACAGCAGGAAAAGCATGTTCCATGCCTGGAGCCAAGGCAGAGGGAGCAAGACAGGCTTGGCTTGCAGAGGCGCTGTGCTCCCACAGAGGACAACACACAGCCATGTGTGCCAGCCCAGTGCCTGGGATGTGGGAATGAACCTGGCCCCATGGATGTGCTTTGTCCCACCACCTGCTCAGGCACCATGGCATCCATGGCCATTCTCACACTGGGAGTTCCCACTCTGTCCCCAGAACTGGTGCTTGGGGCTCTGCTCGCTCATCCTTGGGTCTCTGGCTGAGAGGGAAGGTCAGCCTGGTTTGATGGAAAGATGGGAAATGGAGGGAGGAAAGTCACACAAAAAGTGGTACTTCCTCACCCAACACTGATGGGTGGCTGCAGGCTCTGGCAGTTCACATGTTCCTGGGGTTAATGGTATTTTAGTCCTGCACCTTCCAGAGCTGATCACAAACCCAGGACAGGCTTGTCAAATAATTAATCTCATACATCAACTGTTCTTGCTTTTCTCCAGCAAAAATTCCAGTTTCAGGTCCCTGACCCCAAGCCTGTCTGACAGGTCATCCAGGAGATAGTGATGCCCACAAACTGGTGACCATACTCCATGGGGACACTGAAAGACATGGCTGGGACATGTTCCCAACTCCTAATGTCTTGGGATGGAGATGGAATGTGTTGAGATAGAGGAATAGGGTCATAGCTCAGCTGGAGTTTCTACTCAATAACTCACACGTACCACAGCAACTTGCTGTCCTGAGCCAAAGTCACTTGTAGTTGGTGTGTCCAGCAAGGGATTGGGGCACCTGTCCTGGTGTGGTTTGGGATCTGTTGGACTGCAGGTGGGATCTGCCCTCTAAGCCATCTGCCTCTGTGCCCCATGGCGGCTTCATCTGCCGGCAGAGCCATGCAGTGGTTCAACACTCCAGTCATTAAGAGTTCCATTAAGAGATCTATTCACTAAAGGGAGACGTGGGATGACTGGCTGACTGCTGCTCTGCCTGAGATAAAATTGTGAGGAATATAAAATCCCAAAGGAGCTGTGGGTGAGGAGTCTCTTTCCCATGAGCAGAGCAGTCCAGCCTTCCCCTGAGCTTTGTCACAATGTCCATCCTCATCTTCCAGCTTGTGGCCACCCAATGAATTGATCTTTGGGCAATTACCCCACTGACTGGGCTGTCACGTCCTTCTACTCCATTTATGAGCTGGGAGGAGCCCACAACGTGGTGAATTATAAGCCAATGCTTTAAAACAGTGTTCTGAAGGTTTGGGAGCTGAATTATTATTTATAATGCCCTGGGGCCCCCATGTAATTTATGGACAGGTATGAAGACAAGTAGGCGCTCAGACATGGGGATGAGCCCGGTGTAAATGCTGAGATAGAAGGATAGATAGATGGATGGATGAAGATAAGCTTCTTGGCCAAGAGAGCTGGAGATTGAAAAACTGGAGATGGAGAAGGCTGCTCAGACATCTCTGCTCTCCTAGGGTGATACCTACACTCCCACTACACTCACTCTGTAAAATGTCATCTCAAACATGGTGCAAACCATTTGTTTACTCTTATTTTTTTGAATTTATCCAAAGTGCAAGGAAAAAAAAGTAAAAAGGAATTGCTTTGTTGTTGCAATTTGCTGCTAGGCATTCCTATGTGTGCTAATGATAAGTATTAATTAAATAGCTTTCTGTTGTCTTTTAAATGCAGTTCTTTCAGGCTGTAATTAAAAACAGACACCCAGCCCTTTCTGTCTGCATAGGAAGAGGCAGGTAGGCCTCTGGAGCTCTGCACTTCTTTCCTTGTAACAGGAGAGAAGTGGAAAATGAGGCAAAACCAGTTTCCACTGAAAACTCACTTCCCTGTGCATGTCCTTCACAGGGAAGGCAACCAGCCCAAGGAAATTAAAGGAATGTGACTTCCAAGATCTCAGCCCTGCTATCAAAGTAAGTTTATTTGCCCTTAAGATCTCTCAGCTTCATACATTTAAAAGGCAGAGGAGATCACTTTGTTTAATCTCTGGGCTACACAGGCTGCTGAACATCCTCCTGATGCATTCATCATGCCCAGAAGAAACTTGTTGCCTTATGAACATTTTGATCTGAGTAGCTGGAGATAGGATGCCATGCCTCTCTCTCCATGCCTACTTGTTTCTTGATTTCCTCGGTTTTTTTCACTCTTGCTGTGAAAAACCAGACACTGCTGAAAATTCCCATCCCTGTGCTGCTCCTCTGGTCATTATTAATCTCCCAACTCAGGGTCTGCTGCTCAGGGAAGCTGGAACTCCCCCCAGCCCTGCTGCCCTCTCCTTTTGCCATCTTAAAATACACTAAAGCCCTCTAGAAATGCAAATAAAATGTCAGATGCTCATGTGATGGAAGGCAACCACCAAATAAAATTTCACATTTGACCACAATGCTGAATGACACCTAAGCCCAAATTTTTTCTGCCCTTAAAAGCAACTGGGCTTCACTGATTTAAAATGCTGCTGTTAATCAAGAAATACATGGAAAATACATGGAAAGACAATGAAAGACAATGGCTGTCTGCTGTGAAGCTTATGAGAGTGGTGGGGGAAGATGCAGCTCACTCAGAGGATGCCTTGGTCAGAAATAGTCCATGAGAGAAAAGTTTCTGTGTTCAACAGCTGCATATATATATATATATATATATATATATATATATATTTTTTTTTTTTTTTTTTTTTTTTTTTGTGAGTGGAAACATTTAATTATGCATTTGAGCAATTTATAACCTGAGATGTGTAGAATTTGTGTAATAAATACCCAGAGGATATAACACAGACACATTGCCTGTGAGGGGATCCTCGATTTGGGGCAGTGCAGCACTTTGGTCACCCAGGGCGATGCTCCTCTGCCTTGGTAACTCCTGACATAGTTCATAAAACAGCCACAGCCCTTTTGGGGTCCTATCAAGGCTGGATTTGCTATGGGGTTTTCTGTCTCCCTCAGCCCCATGGCTATCTTGTGATTTTGATGCAGCTGGACAGAAATCCACAGGGAATTGGGAACACAAGAAGGAGTCTGGGACACTCTGAGACTCCTTCCGTGGTGAGGGAAGCATGGGGTGGGAGCATCTTTGGGGCTGTTGGTGGCAGCAGCAACAGAAGTGCCTAAGAAGGGATTTTTTTCTCAATTATTTGCATGTTAAAAATGAGAAAGGGGGAGAAATAGGATAGAAAAAGCAGGGGGAAAAGTAAGCATTCAGAAATTAAATGCTTAATTAAAAAGGAGTTTGAATTTGTTTGAATTGAATCAAAAGATTTTTTCTTTTCAGCAAACAT